AGAGGGTTTGTAAGGAGAGATACGTTTGGACAGGTAAGCAATCTTATGCTTCAAAGAACAAAAGACTTCAAGACCACCCAAAGCTGCCCTAACTATGAGGGTTATCCAGAAAGTAAAGTTACAATATTTAAAAATATATAAAGAATGAATATATTTTAATAAAACTTCAATGGATTGTAGCATAGGTATTACATTATTTTTCCACATAATCACCATTCAGTTCCATACATTTTGTCATCTGTGGGACGAGTTTTTGATGCCTGTGTCATAGTAGTTTCCCTTCGCCTTTTTCAGCCAGTTCGTCACTTTGATTTTCACTTCATCATCACAAAAATGTTTTCCACCCAGGTGTTCCTTTAGTTTAGTGAACATATGATAGTCACTAGGTGCAAGATCAGGGCCGTGAAAGGGGTGGCCTAACCAAATGAATTCAACAACTCTTGTGTTGCATGAGTGGTGTGCAGACGCGGATTATGATGGAGACAGACTGCTGCCATCAGCATCCCATGACATTTGTTTTGGATGGCTCTGCAAAGTTTCTTCATGGTATCACAATATATTCCGTGCCCATTTGGTCACATGCTGTCTTTACATTACATCCTCTCCATAAACTGAAACAATTTCACAATGAATCGCAGCGACGTGGATGCTCTTAGCATTTGAGTAGCGTATTCCAGTGTGAACTTCGTACTTGGAGGGAAAAACTAGTCTCTAACCTTCACCACAGCACCAGTTGATGAGCTTACTTACTTACTTACTTACTTAGGCGATCCCTCGTTGGACGAGTAAGATGGTCTTCCATTATGGATTTCCCTGTGGGAATTTTCTCAGTCACCCACACTTTTTCTATGAGCTGGTGGAGTTGGTGTGTCAGCTCAGGTCCTCCCTCTTTAAAGATTTCAGCAGGGATCCCATCCGGTCCACTGGCTTTGTTATTCTTCTGTTGGCTGATGGCATTGCTGACTTCTTCCAGACTAGGCAGTGCTGCAAGCTCATCCCTGGTTTGTTGTTGCGGGATTTGTGAGAGGACCTCTTTGGTCACATTGGAGCTGCAGTTCAGGAGGCTTTGGTAGTGTTCTTTCCAACTAGTGCAATTGAGTTTTGGTCCTTCAGGAGTTTGGTTCCATCTGATGAGCATGAGGCTGTATGCCATGGTTCCTTGGTCCGTAGATGACCTTTGTGGCTTTGAAAAATCCCTGAGCATTATGGGTATCTGCCAGGTGTTGGATTTCTTTGGCCTTCTTTGTCCACCAGATGTTCTTGAGTTCTCTTGTCCTTCTTTGGACCTCAGCTTTTGCACTGGCGTAGATCTTTTTCTTAGCAGCACAGTTGATGTCTCTCTGCCATGTTTGGAAGGCTTTCCTTTTCTTGTCAATTAGCTGTTGGATCTCGATGTCAATTTCATCAAACCAGTCTTGATGTTTCTTGGCTTGGTATCCAAAGTTTCTTCGCCAGCTTGGACAATGGAGGTTTTCAGTTTGTTCCAGTGTTCCTCAACATTTTCGGGGTGTACTGTGGGTAGATGGTCCTTGAGGGCTGTTTGGAGATAGGCTCGTCTGGAGGGCTCCTGAAGGGCTTGGGTGTTCATTTTGCACCTTGTCTTCCTTCCTTGGAGTCTGCGCTTGGAGCGATCTTGATAGCCATCGAGGATCGGATTAGCCTGTGGTCAGTCCAGCAGTCGTCAGCACCTGTCATGGCTCTTGGGAGGAGCACGTCACGGCGGTCTCTGGCGCGTGTGATTACATAGTCTAAGAGGTGCCAATGCTTTGACCGGGGGTGCTTCCATGATGTCTTGAACTTGTTTTTCTGGCGGAAGAGCGTGTTGGTGATGACAAGGTTGTGCTCCGCACATTTGGTGAGAAGCAGAATGCCATTCGAGTTGCTGTTTCCAGCCCGTCTTTTCCTATGGTCCCTGGCCACAGGTCGAAGTCTCGCCCGACTCTTACATTAAAGTCCCCCAGGAGGATGATTTTGTCCTCCTTAGGTATCCCCGATAGGATGGTGTCCAGCTGACAGTAGAATTTCTCCTTGATGTCTTCGTCAGCATCTAGTGTAGGTGCATAGGCACTTATGATGGTTGCCCGTTGGTTTTTGGCAAGATCGATTCGGAGAGTTGAGAGTCGTTCGTTGATGCCAGTGGGTGCTTCGGACAGATGTTTCATCAGATCATTTCTGATGGCAAAGCCAACTCCGTGCAGTCTTTGGTCTTCTTCAGGCAGTCCCTTCCAGAAGAAGGTGTAGCCTCCTTTTTCTTCCTTCAGCTGTCCCTCTCCTGCTCTCCGGGTCTCCTGAAGGGCTGCTATGTCGATGTTGAAGCATCCCAGCTCCCTTGCAACCAGTTGATGAGCTACTGACGACTGGCACTGCTCATTTACTTCCGCTAGCTTCCCACAACATGGTAGTGATACCAACTTCTCCCGTGAAAATTCTCTGTGAGAGCTACATGTCCTGTACCTTACTCTCTGGATAACCCTCGTAATATTATTTGCAAAAATCCAGTAACTGTAATGGCTCAATCCAATACAGATGGGCGCAGGAAGTCTTACAAAAGTCGTTGCGTATCCAGTTTCATGACATATACTGAGTGTTCCTGGTCAAGGCTAGTCTCCTCTTTTGTGAGAAGATAGAAATGGCACAATTCAACATTCTCAATGGCTCGAAGGTTGAATCTCTGTATAAGGACCAAGTAGCAACAGTAAGAACTGACCGTGGAACAACAGACTGGTTCAAGATTGAGAAAGGCGTACAGCAGGGCTGCATACTCTCAACCAACCTATTCAACTTGTATGCAGAACACATCATGCGATGTGCGGAGCTTGAGGAATGCAAGGCTGGGGTGAAAATTTCTGGAAGAAACATTAACAGCCTTGAATATGCAGATGACACCACTTTGATGGCCGAAAGCGAGGAGGAGCCGAGGAGCCTTCTAATCAAGGTGAAAGAAGAAAACGCAAAAGCTGGGTTGCAGTTAAACATCAAAAAAACCAAGATTATGGCAACAAGAATGACTGACAACTGGGAAATAGAGGCAGTAACAGACTTTGTATTTCTAAGTGCAAAGATGACTGCAGATGCAGACTGCAGCCAGGAAATCAGGAGACGCTTACTTCTTGGGAGGAGAGCAATGACCAATTTTGATAAAATAGTGAAGAATAGAGACATCACACTGGCAACGAAGTTAAAGCAATGGTATTCCCCGTAGTAATCTATGGATGTGAGAGCTGGACCATAAGGAAGACTGAGCGAAGGAAGATAGATGCTTTTGAACTCTGGTGCTGGAGGAAATTTCTGGGAATGCCTTGGACAGCGAGAAGATCCAACCAGTCCATACTTCAAGAAATAAAGCCTGACTGCTCACTGGAGGAAAGGATAGTAGAGGCCAAGATGAAGTACTTTGGCCACATCATGAGAAGAAAGGAAAGCTTAGAGAAGACAATGATGCTGGGGAAAATGGAAGGAAAAAGGAAGAGGGGCCCACCAAGGGCAAGATAGACGGATGGTATCCTTGAAGTGACTGGATTGACCTTGAAGCAGCTGGGGGTGGTGACGACCAACAGGGAGCTCTGGCATGGACTGGTCCATGAAGTCACGAAGAGTCGGAAACAACTGAACGAAGGAACAACAACAACAGTGTCTAGATCCAGGGAAGTCATGCTACCCCTCTATTCTGCCTTGGTTAGACCACACCTGGAATACCGTGTCAAATTCTGGGCCCCGCAATTGAAGGGAGATGTCTCCGGAGGAGGGAGACTAAAATGATCAAGAGTTTGCTATCCCTTTTCTGCCTTTGTCAGATCACACCTGGAATCACAATCTGTCCAATGTTTTTGGGCTTTATCTCTATATGTTATTTTATGTTTATGTTTTAATTTGGTTATGTTAGTCTATAGTTATATGTTATTGTCTTGCTATTTTCACATGTATGTATGACATTGAATGTTGCCTTTATAATGTTGGAAACTGCTTTGAGTTCCCTTAGCGGGAGGAAAACAGTATATAAATGTAGTAAATAAATACATTCTGGGCACCCCAATTGAAGGGAGATGTTGACTCTAAGCTGGAATGTGTCGACTAAAGAGGGCGACTAAAACAATAAAGGGCCTGAAGAACAAGCCCTATGAGGAATGTCTTAAAGAGAGGGGCATGTTTAGCCTACAGAAGAGAAGGCTGAGAGGAGACATGATGAGGACCATGGATAAATATGTGAGGGGAAGTCATAGGGAGGAGGAATCAAGCTTGTTTTCTGAAGCCCTGGAGACATGCGGAACAATGGCGTCAAACTACAGGAAATGAGATTCCACCTGAACACGAGGAAGAACTTCCTGACTGTGAGAGCTGTTCAGCAGTGGCACTCTCTCTCTGCCCCGGAGTGTGGTGGAAGCTCCTCCTTTGGAGGCTTTGAAACAGAGGCTGGATGGCCATCTGTCTGACCAAAGCACAATAGGGAGGGCTATGACTTCCAAGGCATCGATAAAGAGCTGTAAATTAGCAGGGAAAGATTTCACTGTGTTTTCCGCTTTGGGTAATGCTTAGCACATTATCTCTCCTTCTGGACTCGAAATGGGATCACTTAAGACATCAAGGAAGGGGAGGGCGCAAAGAATCTAAACCTTGATACCCGGGAATAAAAACATGTTTTGGAAAGGCAAGGTGTAGTGAATTCCCTGCCAGTGAGGCTGAGAGAGGCCTTGGAAAATAGTAGGCTAAGTGGGTGGGGGTGCCAGTGTGTTTTCACCAAGGGTTTTTTTGGGATGACTGAATGAAGGGTTTCAACCTGCCAGAAGATTGTTTGAAAGTCTGCATCTCTAACTAATTAACTGTACAAAATAAAATCCCCCACTTGTTATACAAGGCATGTTTCAAACATGCAGTTTTGTCAGCAAAACCAGAAATGTGGCATAAAACAGTCATTATGACACATTGGATACCAAGATCAACCACAGACACATGAAGCAAGTATTTTCTGGCAACTGCTCTTTATTTATATCATTATAACAACTTTTATCAAACTTTTATTGACTGCATATAACATTTGTTCTTCTTCTCTTCTCTTTTTTGTTTTGAAAATGAAAACAATTGGAAATGCTTGTGTCTGGTGTCTCTACTCAACAGATATTGCCAAGGGAAGCCAGTTCAACATTTGGGAAACAATAGGGTTTCTTTCCAGTATGGATTGTCTAGTGAACAATCAACTTTGAGCTCTGTTAAAACTATTTCCCACATTGAGAACATTCATAAGGGTTTCTCTTCAGTATGAATTCTTTGATGCCTCTTCAAGCTGAATCTCTGAGTGAAGCACTTGCCACACTGAGAACATTCATACAGCTTCTCGCCAGTATGAATTCCTTCATGCTTCTTCAAGTGAACTCTCCGATTGAAGCACTTGCCACACTGAGAACATTCATAACGCTTCTCGCCAGTATGAATTCTTTCATGCTTCTTCAAGTTAGCTCTCTGATTGAAGCACTTGCCACACTGAGAACATTCATAAGGTTTCTCGCCAGTATGAATTCTTTCATGCTTCTTCAAGTTAGCTCTCTGATTGAAGCACTTGCCACACTGAGAACATTCATAAAGCTTCTCGCCAGTATGAATTCTTTCATGCTCCTTCAAGCTGACTCTCCGAGTGAAGCGCTTGCCAAACTGAGAGCATTTATAGTGCGGCTTTTGTCCAGTGTGACTTTGCTGGTGGTGTGCCAGGTGCCCTCTAGATTTGAAGTTATCCTTACTAGTAGCACATTTCTGCAGTTTCCTTCCTGTAGGAACGTTTTGGGATCTCTGTAAAGACTGTCTGTGGCTCTTGCTTCCTTCTTCATCATCAGGACATTCAGCATCTTTCTTTCTTGAGTTTGGATCAGCAAACTCATTGGACACATTATGGTATTTTCTTCCATGCTTAGAGAACAAAGGCTTCCTCGTGTCTGTGGAGGTCTTGTTATTGGCACCTATAAGGCTCTTGGTGTGATTCCTGTCTGTCTCCACTAACTTCTTCGACTCCTGACTTCTGAGCTGGTATCTCTTCTTATGAATGTTGGATGTCATAAGCAAACTCCTCTGAGATGTTTCTGCTGGCGATGGCTCTACCTGCTGAGGTGTCTTCATCTCCTTCCAACACCCTATTTCGTCACCTGAAGAGAGAGAGAAAGAGGACATTTGTTTCTGTTCTGGCACTGCTTTCCTAATTTCTACCACTTGGTCTTCTCTCATGCCATCTCTTGCTTTCCATCTGATTCAAAATATCTTTGCTCACCTTGGATCATTTAGGTGTATGTGTATGTACATCACCCCATTCTGAGTGTTTTGCTTCAAAGAACAAAGGATTTGAAGACCATCAAAAGCTGCCCTAAATAATATTACTCACAGAAATCCAGTAACTGTAATGGTTTAATCCAATCCAGATCTGCACACAGAGAAGTCTTACAAAAGTAATTGCATATTCAGTTTCATGATATATGCTTAGTATTCCTGGTTAAGGGCAGTCTCCTCTTTAATAAGATCGGTCACCCTATACCCAGGGAGAAGCGCAACAGTTCTTGCGACCCTGGAGAAGGATAAGTGTGGTAGTCTCCATGATAGATCCCCTGAACTCAAGATCCTGCTTCTGAATGCCAGATCCGTCAGCGGTAAGACATCTATCATTCAGGATTTGATCTTGGATGAGAGGGTGGTTCTGGCATGCATCACTGAGACGTGGTTGGATGAGCTGGGTGGGGTAAATCTCACCCAGCTGTGCCCACCGGGTTTCGGGGTGCATCAGCAGGCTAGGTCCAGGGGGCGGGTGATCTTTCGGCTGTCCATTGCCCTGATCAGATGCACCGTTCCGCAATCCATGAGGTTTGAGTGGGTCTACTTGAAGATGGGAACCCAAGACCGCCTGGGGATTCTGCTGGTGTACCGACCACCCCGCGGGCAATGGACAGCTGAAAGATCACCCTAACCCCTCCTCCCCGCCCCATCAGTTTCCCTGCCTGAGCTAGCAGAGGTGGTCTCAAATTCGGCCTTGGCCTCCCAACAGCTTATAGTTTTGGGAGACTTTAACATCCATGCTGAAACCACGTTAACAGGTGCAGCTCAGGATTTCATGGTTGCCATGACGACCATGGGGCTGACTCAAGTAATATCTGTCCCCACTCATCAGGCAGGACACACTGCGGATGGTGGGACGGTCAGAATGGAAGAGCAAAACATTCTTCCAGTGTCATGGGCCGACCATCATCTGATTTGTTTAAGATTTGCTGTGACTTCTAACCTCCGCAGGGGTGGAGGACCCATTAAGATGGTCCGCCCCAGGAGACTTATGGATCCAGAAGGACTCCTGAGGTCTCTTGGGGATCTTACTGTCCTGGAGACTGACGATCCTGTCAACGCCCTGCTCGATCGCTATAATAGCGAGCTGACCAGGGTGATCGACATGATCGCTCCCGAACGTCCCCTCTCTTTGCGTAGAGTCGCACCGACTCCCTGGTTCACCGAGGAGCTGGCTGTGATGAAGCGCTGGAGGAAGGGTCTAGAGTGCATCTGGAGGAAATCTCGCGATGTGTCTGACCAAGCACGGGCTAAAGCCACTATTAAGGCTCATACCATGGCTTTGTGAGCAGCCAAGAAAGCTTTCTCGACTGCCCGCATAGCGACTGCAGCAAACAGACCATCAGAGTTGTTCCGAGTTGTTGGGGAGCTCCTCCAGCCTCCTGAGGTGGTGGGGCTTCCTGACGACTCGGCAACCCGGTGCAGCGATTTTGCACACCATTTTGCAGGCAAAGTTGCTCAGATACGTCTTGAGCTGGACTCCAGCTTAAATGCAGTACCAGATGAGGTAACTGAGGCACCTGTCTGTTCGATCTTATGGGATTGATTTTGGTTTGTTCTTCCGGATGATGTAGAGGGGGTCCTTGGGTCTGTGCAAGTGACCACATGTGCGCTGGATCCTTGCTCTTCCTGGCTAGTTAAACTGGCCAGAGAGGGGTTGTTGGACTGGCCAGGGGAAATTCCCATCTTGCCTCTTGGTCCTCCACGTCAATCGCTCGCCTGACCGGGATATTGGGTGGAAACCTGTGTTGGACGGGGTTGCACTCCCCCTGAAGACACAGGTCCGCATTTTGGGGGTCCTTCCGGACTCTGTGCTGACGCTTGATGCGCAGGTGTCGGCAGTGGCTGGGAGGGCCTTCACATAGTTAAATCTTGTGCTCCAGCTGCGACCATATCTCATGAAGTTGGACTTGACTACGGTGGCCCATACTTAGTTACCTCTAGACTGGGTTACTGCAATGCGCTCTACGTGGGGCTACCCTTGAAGACGGCCTGGAAACTACAACTCGTTCAACATTCGGCGGCCAGATTAATAACGGGGGCAAATTATAGGGAGCAATCAACCCCCCTATTTAAGGAGCTCCCTTGGCTGCCGTTTATTTTCCAGGCCCAATTCAAGGTACAGGTTATCACCTATAAAGCCCTTAATGGCTTGGGATCCGCCTACCTTCGTGACCGCATCTCCCTCCATAAACCTGCCCAATCCCTCCGATCCTCGGGGGAGGCTCTCCTTTCACCTCTACCATTATCTTAGCCCCACCTTGAGGGAACAAGGGAGAGAGCCTTTTCCTCAGTGGCTCCCCGTCTATGGAATACACTGCCTGGTGAGATTAGGCAAGCCCCCACCTTAGAAAGTTTTAAGAGGAATCTCAAAACCTGGCTCTTCCTCTGTGCTTTTGGAGATTAACTCTATAATCTCATTTGACCATTTACCCGCAATTTGGTCTTCAGTGCACCCTTTATACGAAGGTCCTTTTTCTTGACTCCATCTCGGAAGAGTTCCTCCCCCACAAATAAGTTGCTCCACTGCTATCTCACTCCCTGTTTTTATCCCCAGTATTTTAATTTGTACATGCGGCCCGCTCATTGTTTTGTGTCTTGAATTGTTTTATTTTACTGCATATTGGTTGTAATATTCTTATAGTGTATGTTTTATGTAATTGATTATGTGGTTGTTTATGTTCTGATTTTATTCTATTGCTGTGTTGTTGGGCTTGGCCCCGCTGAGGAGATGGTGGCGGGGTACAAATAAAGTTTATTATTATTTATTATTATTACTAAGAAGATGAAAATGGCACGATTCAATATTCTCACTGTCTTGAGGGAAGCTTGAGTCCCTGCAATGTCATGTAACAAATCCAGCACTATAAGAAATGCACACTGGCTGCCTTGCTGCTTCTCAAGGATCTTTTACTGGGATGATAAAAATAGCATCTGTAAGAACAGAATATAATGACAGTGACAGTCTTCTTCAAACACCGCTCCAGCCTTGAAAAATATTTGCTGACAAAGGGATCCAAATATCAATGACTTTCATAGATGCCAGTGTGGCAAATCAGGAAAAATATCTAACTGAAAGATCTCCATCTTGAGTTCTCAGATATGAAATCAGTTTTGCTTTAATCTCCAGCATGGCTCTTCTGATGCCTAGGAAATTGAGTTTCCATCTGAAACACTTTCGTATGGTTTTTCATCAGTATGAATCCTCTGGTGTCTCATCAAATACTCCCTTTGGTTAAAACTTCCCACACTAAGGACATTTGTACGGTTTCTCTCCAGTCTCTGATTCATCTGACGGGGACAAATGACAGGGCCTTCTCAGTGGTGGCCCCCAGATTATGCTGATGATAACATAATCTGTGTGCATTCAGAAGAAGACATACAAGCCACTCCAAACACTAGAAGCTTAGCCTTTCATAGAACATCGAGTAAACCAAAGTGCTCTTCCAGCAGTCACCAGCCAATCCCTCTCCAATGCCAGAAATACAGCTTAATGGTGTAACATTAGAAAATGTTGAATATTTCCACTTCTTTAGCAGCCACTTCTTCACATAAGTGAACATTGACACTGAAACGGAACACCACCTGAGCTCTGCAAGTGCAGCATTTTTCCAAACAAAGCAGACAGTGTTTGAGGACCGGGACATCCGTAGGGAGACCAAGGTGCTTGTTTATAAAGCTGTTGTCCTCCCAGCCCTGCTATATGCCTGCGAAACATGGACTGTCTACAGACGTCACACTCAACTCCTGGAACGATTCCATCAGTGTTTTCTCCGAAAAATCCTGCAAATCTCTTAGGAAGACAGGAGGACAAATGTCAGCATGCTGGGAGAAACAAAGACCACCAGCAAGATGGGCTTAAAGCTAACCTTAAAAACTGTGGCATAGACACCAAGAACTGGGAACCCCTGGCCCTGGAGCGCTCTAACTGGAGGTCAGCTGTGACCACCAGTGCTGCAGAATTCAAAGAGGCATGAATGGAGGGCAAAAGTCGCCCTAGGGCTGAGAGCGGCGGTCAACAAATGCAGCAAATAAATCTATATCTATATCTATA